CTGTACAGAACGTGATGAAGACGCAGTTTTCACAAATAATTTTCCGTATTGTTGGACACCACTTTTGTCTAGAGTTATAATCCGCTTGTGCTACTCTTGTGTACTCTTGTGTTGTCTCTCTTATTTCCAATTAAAGCCCCAGTCACACTGTAGGTTGCTGGTTTTATGTTTTGTGTGGGCTTCCTCTGTTGCATTCTGTTTGTCCGGTGCGGCACCTGTCTCCTCTGTTCATGCAGTGACATCGCAGTTCAAAGCAGTTCCGTTAAAAAAGGTCACTGTCACGTGCTTTTGTGTCTTTTTTGGGGGGTTCTTCTTTCGGGTTTCATTGATCTGAGGAAGTTGCGTCTCTGTCTCTGGCAGCATCTCTCTCTCTCTCTCGCTGGTTCTCTGTCCCTCGGTCTTTTACTGTCTGATGGCGTGTGGTCTGCCCTCCTGAATTCTCTCCCCTCTCCCCCCTCCCTAGCACTGTTAACAAACAGCCGGAGCCCACTCCACGTAGATCCAGCGCTGTAAATAGAAAGCAGCCGCAGCTAACCTCACCCACCTTCCAACCCCCACTGCCCCCTCTGGAAGCCGGGGGTCCTACACAGCCTGAACCCCAGACCGAGGCTCCTTCGGCGGCTGTAGTGACTGAGCAGTCTGGCTTGAGTGGAGCTGCTAGTGCTGCTGGTGGTGGTGGTGGTGGTGGTGGTGGTCTGGGTGGTGGGGTCCAGGTAGCTACAGTGCAGCCGCAGGTTGTAACCCAGCTCAGCGCAGAGGAGAGCAGGTAAGGAGCGAGCTGAGGTACCAACTATACTCCACCGCCTGCTCGCAGCCAATCAGCCAATCCGGAGCTCTACCCCCCCTTTGTTTGTCATGTGTTTGATTTGAGTCTACAGCTCCCATACTGGAAGTCATAAAATATATAATCATGTCATAACAACATCTACAGTGTCCTCAGCTTTAAATTTGGCTTCATTTTAACAAATGAAGAATAATGAAAATCACTTCCTGCTCTGTCTACAGTCAACTCTTGTCCTCCACTGCTTGTTGTGATCAAACTCGTCTTTTTTTTTTAAATTTACTTGCCGTTCTTCCTGCCTGCATTTTTGGTGTTGTCTGAATTTGCATGCAACACGTTATCAAACCTTTGTTGAGTCTGTCCAACAAACGTATTTTCTGATCTTGCATCCTCTTCTCTACACTTTATATTGTTGTTGAGTAATTTCTCATGCCATAACCTTCATCTAATGTAATTTGAAGCATTTGAATGGAAGTTATTATGCATGAGCTCTTGCTCTGATCACTTGCTTGTTGAATGTACAGGGTAGTCGTCATGTTGATGGATTAACTTTTAGATTTGTTGTATTTTCGCAGCCCAGCCCGTGAACTCATGTCCACTCCCCCTCCCCAGAGGAATGGCTCAGTCCATCTTGCAGTAGGAACCCCCCACTCTCAGGGTGGGTCTAGGGGTCCGAGTCCACACCTGGTCCGCAGAGGTAAGAGAATGTACATTATTTACATACCAATAATATTGTTACAATCATGTAATAATTGTTTTTCTCTAAAGGAACCAAGAAGCAGGCCCCGGCCCCGCCCAAACAGGCCAGCCCCTTCGCCTACCAGCTCGGTAACACCCAGACGCCTGGCTCCCCTCATTACCCGCCCATCACACCCCGGCGCCACTCCAGCAAAGACAGTCCAATCCACGCCCCGAGCCACCCGCCCCCACAGCCTCCACAACCCCACCAGGCCCATGGGGAGTCAGAGCCCTCTCCACCTAGCACTCCCACTCCGCCCGGCACTCCACCCCACGATGGACCCCACTCCAATCAGCAGTCTTCCTACCACTCTGGATCTCTCCCCCGCCCCTCTAGGCCAGCTCCGAAGCCACGACCACGGCCCAACATGCCGCCGCCCCCACAACCTGCAGCCAATGACGATGGAAATGGCCTCCTCAGCTCCGCCTCCAAGATCATAACAGGTAAACAGTTTGTCTCTTGTTTGTCATTAATCCTGTTTAGTGTTACAGACAATTATAGTATCAGGAATCACAAGCAGTATCATGAGAAAGTAATGACACCAAGCAGAAGGAAAGTTCTCAGCCTATTTCAACTGTAGCAACAATATTGTTAAAGAAGCCGATGAGCATAAAAAAATATTTAATGATCAAGCTTTTCCAGTGGAAACTCATCTGGCTCCAAATAGAGAAGGATCATCACTTTGTGGTGTTGAAATGCTGAAGAATAATTAAGATAAAGAACAGAAATATTAAGTCTTGTTTTTAAAATAATTCTTGAATAAATGTTTTCTTAGCAAAAAGTACTTTGATATACAAATATCAAAGATAAAAATACTCGTTATGTAAATAAATACCTAAAAGTAAGTGTTATGATACTATGTATTATTATTACACAATTACACATCATCATTATTGTATTAATGTTTAAGAGCAATTTTAATGTTGTAGCTGGTTGAGATGCAACTAATTGATTACTGAGTAGTTTGTCATACTTTATAACCTCATCACATTTTTTATGGAAATCATCTGCAAAGTAAGAAATAACAACGGCTATATTCAGTATCGAGTGGTTTTGTTCTGCGTCCTCTCGGGGCATGTCTCTGTTCTTAGCTCACTGGCGTTTGGTTTCACTTTTCTCCACAAGCCTCACACACTACATGTGAACTGTGTTGACCTGAAGCATGACAGGATGTGTGTAAATATTGCAGATGTCTGAGCTGGCAGCCTGAGATGAGCTTTGCGAGGCAGGTAATGGTAAGGGTGTGACGGGCTGATGCACTGGCCTTGCTTCTGTGTCCACTGCATGTGTGTGTGTTTGTGGGGAGACGGACAATGCAGGCGCTCGCTCCCTTCAGTGTGTAACTACGCTCATACTGTATACATGTTTATGTATATTAGTATGGATTTGTCTTGCACTTTAACAGCTGCTATCCAACAACACTAACATGCTTTTGATTTCAACACCATCTCTTGATGCTGAGGTTGGACGGCTTTTGCCTGCTGAGAGTTTTCTGTTATATGCAACTAAACATACTAAACAGACATAACAACCAAGCGTGTGCTGTTATTCTGTGTGTGCACTGCAGTGTCCTCTTGAACAGATGATCAAAGAGAATTTAAAGTTGAACACACCAAGGATGCACTCTCTCATACCTGCCTCACCTCTAAACATGTTACTGAACTAGTACCAAAGATGCAAAATTGACTATATTTAACAATGAGAGCAATCCTTGGTGTCTTACTGAGTTTGTAAAGGTGGCATGATTGATTGTGTGGTTATGGTTATGTTTTGTCTAAACTGATCTGTTTTTATGACTGCTCCCCCCATAACTGTCCTGTACAGACGGAAGCCTGTACCTTAAGGGGATTGGACGAGCCCTCATCCCTGAGGTGATTGTGGACCAACAGGGGGACAGCTCTGCAGGTCAAGAGCCAGCCTCCACCCCCGCCCCAAACGAAGACCCTGAAATCCAGACAGAGAGCACCGCTCTGTGAATAAAACAAAACCAGAGGGACCACTGTCGTCAAACGCCTTCTTCTGGTTTGAATGTATAGAATCGCATATCAGACAGGTAACCCCCCCCCCCCCTCATCAGTCGGCTCGAGCTCTGCATGCTCCACTCGCAGAGGGGGAAAAAAAGGCTGTCTTTTCTTCTGTTATGCTGAGTCAAAACTGAAACCTCAACTTATTACAGTGTTGGTTTAAACCGCAAACCCCTTGTCGATCACTTTCCACATTAGACTTCACGTTGGACTCTTTTCGCTGGATGCACTCCAAAGTATTTTGAGACTGGACTGCAGGGCCTTGCTACACCAAGGCTAATGGGACTTAAAACAAATAACCTCAGCAATTTACTGTAGCATCTGAACTCAAAAGGGTGCCGGTGAAGCATTCGAAGCTTTTGCTCATCCCCTGGTTTTAGCAACAGGTTTGACTACATAGACCCAAAAACTAGTAGCCTACTTTCTTTATTCAGCAGCGCAGCTCTGTGAGTGTTAGTCAGCCGCTGCTGATCTATTTGTCCTTAAAATAAGATCCAGACTCAGACATTTTCTGGCTAAATGCAACATTAACCTAGGAAGGGTTCTGAATACTTGTCACGTACTTCAGCTCCAGATATAAAATGACCAAAGACATGACGAGGGGCCAAACAAGCTGCTTGGTTTGTGTTAAGGTTATTAATGACCAAATATTTTTGGCAAGAGTGCAATGTAAAAATGCAGTCGTCTTCCCGCAGTGTCCTCTTCATAGGACGTATTCTAATTTTAGGCATTTCAGCCAGTTATCCCTATTTATAGCTCGTGATCCAGTGGGGTAAAACATTAGATTTTTTTCAATTTCAGCTGACTTAATTTACCAAGTTCAAAATAGCTGATGAACTCAAAAGATGAATGTTTATTTTGAAAAGGGAAATAAAGATTAATCATTCCAACAATTAGATTTTTATAACATAGTTTGTAAATGATCACGCCCACTCCAGCTGGAAGCTTTGACCAAATGGAGCCAAATAATTCAAATCTTCTTTGTGTATAATTTTACTGCAGCTGACAATCTGTACCTGGTTGTGGTATTTGTAAGATCTTTGATTATGTTTTTTTTTTCTGCACATGTTGCATCATTACTCTTAATAATAAAAGACTTAAACGTTTTAAAGTTTTGTAAACGTCTTTTCATTTTTGCCAACACTAAATCAATTCATTCATTTTACCAGCTATCAATCACTATGTTTACATTTTCAGCTATAAAGTCTTAAATGATCTTTACATTATATCTTCATGTATGTTGCCAAGAATTCAAAAAGACGATGTCTCAAATTAATATAGTTAAAAATGACTCTTCATATTGTTCGATTTACAGACTAGAATGGCGCACAGCAGTGAAGTCACATTAAATTCAATCAAGCTGCACCTCATTTAACACACTCATAGATATCAGTTACCTAAATGTGCCAGATTTGTTTTCATCAAGATTCATGAATTATATCCTGGGAAAATGTTAAAAAAACACCATATCTCGCAATTTTAAAGAAAAGGGTAAAAATTCCTGGATTCACATTTTGTTTCAATTAATGAATTCAATGATGAGAAAGTAAAGTCTCTTCTTCTTCTCAGTGAAAACAAAACACTTAAACCTGTACACAACATTTTACCCAAGCCAAACACCACGTGTCCATGAAGAGTACCTTCCCGTCAGCCCCAGTAGCCAATGATAAAAGCAGTTACAGAAAGGCAAATGATGAGGTTGGCGTTGATGATGAGGCGTAGACATGGCTTTTCTTCCAGAGAGCAGATGCTCTGTTCAGGTGCAGGAGATGCTGCAGGACTCTCTCCCTCCTTCCGTCTTTCCATCCCGCAGAGCCAGTAGACGGCAGACATCAGCCTGGACTGGCTGTGGATGCTGGACACAGAGGATGAGGAGTCTGGACAGAGGAAACATTGTGCATTGTTCACTGGGTGTGTGAACCAGAAGTGACACATAGTGAAATGGAACAGAGTCATGACAAACAGGACAGAGACCCACCTTTCCTGTGATGACATGTTTTAGTATCGCTGGTGTCCTGCTGCTCTTTTCCTATAACTCCCATCTCATCTGTCTGACCCATGATCTCTATGGTTTTACTGCTCTGCTCCGCTGGGACCACATGCACTTTGGGCTCCACGGGATCAAACCTTGTGTACCAGGTAAGTCGACTGATCTGTAAGGCAGATAGTTAACTCCCAGATATTTCAGAGGGCATCTGTTTATATTTGTCTGTCAAAACTGTGCATATGTTAAGTTGGGTATTAAATTAAATTTTCAATACATAAGCAGAAGTAGTTTTGATAAAGAACCCAAATAATGATAAATTAGGCCAGAGTTTCAAATCAGTGAACTGAAAACAAATATCAGTATGTCTTAAAGGTTCAGCGTGTAGAACTTAGTGCCATCTAGTGGTGAAGTTGCATGTTGCAGCTGAATACCCCTCACCTTACCCTCCCAATCCAAACATGACAGAGAACCTGTGGAAACCTTTAATTGTCATAAAAACTCAAAAGGTGTTTAGTTTGTACAGTTTGGGCTACTTTCAAAAACATGGCAGTCTCCATGGGGAGGACCTGCTCCCGGTGTAAATATAAAGTATTTAATTATAAAGGACCCATTCTAGGATGAAGAAAACAACTATTCATACAATTTAAATGAAACACACTAGTTAAAACATGATTTTATATTCAGTTTCTGCCAAAAGAACCCTTTCACCTAAAACTTTCATTTCTAAATTTGAAATTGTGACTGAGAAGAAGTCTTGCTTTACCCTCTAATATTAGTGCAAATTAAACTGAGATAAAATACAACAGATCCGACCCTGTGACTTCACCTGCTCTGGTTTGGGCTCCTCCGTGGCCAGGCTGATGACAACCACCACAACCAGGGTGATGAAGGACAGCAAGACGGAGAAGTAGAGGTAGTGGACGTATTTCAACACCTCGGGCCTGTCGTCCTCCTCGTTGCACAGGGGCGCCGGGTAAATGAAGTCCAACAACATGCGGATGCAGCCCACCAACAGGCCGATAGCCAGGCCCCAAAATGCACCCTGAGAGAGAGAGAGAGAGAGAGAGAGATGTCTACCCGTAATGGAATATAAGATAAGGTTCACATTGTGAGCTGGACTCTGTCTGTCATGTTGCTGTCATATAGTACAACAGGAGAGGAGGTGTGGAAATGAGTCATTTACTGTATTGATATATTGAGATATATGAAAAAGAAAAGTATATTTTCAACCACAAAG